TCGAATCAAATTCGCAAATTCTTTGATGCATTTGATACTTAGTTTTAAGTATTTCAGGATTAGCACTACGCACTATCGCGATTTCCTTTTACAGCTAGAAATATGTGATATAATTAAATATAACTAATTAATGAAATAAAAGTATTGCAAGAAAATGCATTAGATTTATTGCACTATTTATTTCAATTCGGTTTTTTTACTCGACGTTAATAGTGCGAAGTGTTATTAGGTCATCGAGGGAAATTATTATCTGCTTGGACATTCGATTAAATATTCTCGTGTATGGTCAATGAACTCTAAGTTCATTGATGTTCCACGAGCTAGAAAAGGGGACGTGAAATGTAAATTAATTTTGTAATAATTGAGAATTAGAATCATAACAAAATATGAGTTCATTTGCAAAATTAGTATGAAAGATCTTATCTTGCTTGCACGTAGGAAATGTCCAAATGCAGTTTTCAGGGAATGAAGAAAGAAGAGGCTTAATGCCGAAGAGGCCCCCACTTAATTGTGGCTCAAGAGGGCAACTACTAAGGCTATTGAGTTATTTTCAAAGGTTCAACAGCAAGTTCGAACCTTTCGAGAATGACTCTCTAGTCAAATTTTATATTATATTCTATTATTTTTTTGCTCGTCATTAATTTCTAGTTGTAATTGGAGATGATGGACCATTCCATCTCCTCAGGACACCAATTTCGTGTCTATATCGTAAAAAAGATGCACATGTGTTTAATTATTTAGAGTCATTACCATTAAAAATTTCCTTACTATTAAATTTTAAATCTTAATTAACGTTCGATAAATGTTAAAGTAATTTTTTTTCTTTTATTTCGTCTTTAAGATTTTTTTACTGCAATCGTATTTAGTATTAAATTTGTAATTTAGTTTCTATATAATGCAATTTAAAAATACTTTATTATAATTAATAGATTGTTTTTATTTTTTCTGTTACTTAATATGTTCCTCTTTTTTTTATATATATATTTAATGTAAATGTAAAATCACGCGTTTAAATTAAATTTTATTGCAACGGTAAATAGAGATTTGATAAAAATAAATAGAGAATTCAGTTTTAAAAGTGCATCTACGAATTGGACGATTCAGATGTTAGGCTACTTTATATCACTTGATTGTATGATTAATATAGTTTTCTTCTTGTTACAGGTGATCATCGTTGGATTTAACAACAAAACCTTTGAGATTTTCTTCTATTTAAATGTCTAATAAATAATTACTTTATAAAATATATGTATAACTGCATTTCTGAAGGTACACACATATTTTTTCACTAAATATGAAATATAAATATTTAAAAGTCCATAATAAATATAACATTGAATATTTGCACAGGTTTACAAAAGATTTTAAATATGTTTTTTAATAAAATGTTTAATTTATTAAAATATTTGTTTCAGAATTTACAATATTTTATAACAATAAAATTATTTAATACAAGTATTATTTAATACAATCGGACCAAAATCGGTAATATACATATAATTTTATTGTCGTATTTGTGAGTATTGCAATTGACAGGATTTTATATAATCATTTAATTAAAACAAAAAAAGAAAAAAATATCATTTTTCTACATTTGTCTCTATCTATTTATCTTTCTTTTTTTTTTCTTCTAAAAAATACTTTTTACACTTTTTTTTCTTCTTACAATTTAAAATAATTTTTTAAGTTGCCCCTACTCGATGGTATTATAGTTCAGATCAATGTTCTCATTTCTTTTCTATTTCTTTTTTTTTTTTTTTTCTATCGAACATAACGAACTATATTTCTATCTAGAAGTGAATCAGGCTTCTAAATTTAACGGGATCAATAAAATATGATCGTTAATTTGTTAATAAAAAAAAAGCAAATTATCGTCTCGTGGTCAGTCTTTCCATATCATCGATATAAATTAAATATTAATACATATTTTCAATTATTATACATTATCGCAGTTGTGTTAAAAACTATCGGAGTGAACGTTGTATTTGCAATCAAAGTTGCATTAGTAGTCGTAGCAACGTCGTTTTCTTCACAAGATTTATATTCCTTGTGTATTGCTGTTAGGAACCAGAAAGCTAATGCTAGAAACAAAGTACCCGATAGATCACCTAATGCAGTTAGATATGGAATCGCTGAATTGTCTGGATCTATTTTGTACCTCCACATTGCATGAATCATTATGTGTGCTACATAAAGTAATAGCATTACCTGAAATTAATTTTTCGAAATATTATTTATTGTTCTCTCTCTCTCTCTCTCTCTCTCTCTCTTGTTGATTTTCAATTAATATATTTTTTACTATATTATTATAGAAAGAAAAAAAATAAACAAAAAAATAGAGATGATAATATTATTGAAATATTTGTTAAATCTGATACTTTTCAATATAAATAATAAATAAATGTACTCACTTGTAAAACTGATACCACGATATAAGAAACTACAAAATAAGCGTCCAATGTTATAGTTTCACATTTGATATAATCAGCCGCAAATACGAATACCAATTGACCGCAAATTGCCATACCGATTAATAATCTAGCAGTTTTAGCATAAGGTACTGTAAATAAATGTTTAATATTAAAAGATTTGTTTTTTAATAAATATATACATTAAAATATATAAATAAATATAAATATATTATTTAATATATATAATATGTAATAAATAAATAAATATTATTTAGAATTATATTTTTTCGTACCTCCTTTGAAAAGTGCTGTCCAAGGTGCAACGAATAATGTAGCGTGGGGAGGTAAAATTCCAAGAATAGCAGTTTGATGCAACATCGTTGAGATTCGCGAAGCTTGCACGGATACCAAATTACCACCGATTCCATTGATAATAGGTTGAAATACTACGAATCCGGTAAATTTGTCTACGACCTCGTTTAAAATCAATCCACCAAGACTAAAAATGAATTATTGACAAAATTGATCAGATACGTTGATTAATATTTAAATTTATAGATAATCATTTATAATCGTTTATCATTATTAATTAAATAAGTGAATAATACTTACCCACTGATGAACAGTGCTGATAAGACGGGTACCCAACCAGATGTTAAAACATTTCTAGTATATTTATTTTTCATCACTATAACAATCCAAAATGGTAATAACAACAGGTAACCGGCTAATGTGACATAGAGAATCCAAATTTGTCCCTGTTGTAGTCTTACGTAAAATGCTGATGCTATTGTTGATAGTACACTGATCGATACTACATCACCAATCGATGCTGCTAATGGTGTTGCTAGATTGTCCGGGTTCATCTTACATTTATGGGATATCATTATTACAGCGATCATCACAAAATCTGCAAACATATATCGTCGTTAGATTATTTCATATAAACAGTTTTCAAAATATTTTTATGAACTCTTTTTATAATGACACGTTAATTCAAAATTGTATTTAATAACCTTGTTATAAATTTTATTATCATTGTACTTTTATAATGAAAAATGTTTGTATGACAAATTCTAGAGAGTTTATTGATACAACTGAAACGATTATCATTGATAATATAAGTTAATGAAATATGAAATATGAGAAATGGGGACTTACCTAAAATAAAACAGGAACTTGTTGCCGTGCAAACACTCGACGCAGCCAATAATAAAGCGCTATTCCATTTGAATGGTTCACTAGGATTGCCGCCATCGTCACCGTGAACAGCTGTTTGTATTGTACCAACGCTTATTGCAAAAATTGCTACCAAAATTGCAGCAACTATTGCTTGGATTTGTACTAATGCGATATTACCAATAATCATTTTCATTATTTCGCGTAATCTATTCATATTTCCTAAATTTGCTTGTGTACTCAATCGCGATGCCAAACACATGTCGAGATTTCCTTTTAATCCTAATAATGCAGGTACCAAGATTAACAATTCGCTTATTGCTTGAAATACTTGCCAGTGCTAAAACATAAACAATTTCGTGTATTTTTTTTTTTATTTCTTATCACAATAATAATAATAATAATAAGAATAATAGGAGTAATAATTACCTGAACTTTGTCTAAAACAAGACCAGCTCCAATGGTGCCACATCCAGCGATGAAAAATGGTACGGAAATTTGTACGGCCGTATGGTACCATTTTTCAGTTCTCCGGTTTTCTTCATCATTTCCATTTGGATTAGTAGAGTAATTAGGATTGGGATCTGTATTAGTGGTGGAAGTGATGGTCACTATGGAACATCCACTGGATAACGAATTCTTATTACCACCTTCACCATTGTCACCATTTGCCACTGGCATATCCTTTTGGTTCGTTTGTTCATTAGGAACTTTTAGATTGGCTAGATTTGATAAAATTGTTAAAAAAACAAAAAATTAATATTATATTATTGATATTATTCTATTTTTTTTTCTTTCTATTCTTTTTATTTTAATCTATTAATATTTTTTCTTTTTCTCCTAATTCTATCAAAATTCATTTCTAACGTTATAGACTTGTTGTTGTACGTTCGAAAGTACTTGATATACTGTTCGATTTATGTACATTAATATATACGAATCATTGCTTTTATTACTAAATTCGTCATTGACATTATCATTCGTATATTTATTATTATTATTATTATTATTATTATTATCATTGTATTATTTATTTCTTTTCTTTTTTTTTGTTTTTCAATGTTTTCGAGTGCAACATATTACATACGACAAAATTCACGCATACTATGTTTAATTTTTTAACGAGAACACGATGATAACGTTAGCAATGATAACTTATCATATTACCGTTTTTTATTTTGTGTTTTTTTTTTGTATTTTTGTATTTTTTTACTATCGCGGTTAAATATTGTACTCGAAATATATTTTTATTGCTAAAGTAACAACGAAATAATAATTATTTTGTTTATAATTTCGATTATAAAAATGTTGTTTTTTTTTCGGTTTTTTTTTCTTAAAACATCTCAAGCGGGAAGATACTAAAGTTCTTTTTTCGAACTGTAAAAAATTAGCTGCTACATGGTAAAATTTTGGCGGCAAAGTGCCCGCGCTAGATGTTTTAAGAAGAAACGAAAAAGAAACGTACCTTTTTTATTCTTACCTGCTACTTTTTTCAGTATCGCAGGTACAGCTTTCATGTCATCCGCGTTGAAAGTCTTCGTCCCATTAGATGTACCATCCTTCTCACATTCCAACGTGAAATTGGGTAACATTGTTGCTCGTGAAATAATGAAAGCTTCATCCTTAGGACTTTGTGATTTTGTACTTATGCTTTCATTGCACATTTCTATATCCTTAACTCGATTATTTTGCACCAAGGATGTTTCAGTCTCCAAGACCGACGAACCGACCATGCCTGCGTTTGTATTAGTGCCCATTTTTTTATATATTCACAAATAAATATTATTTTAAAACACTAATATTCTTGCAAAAGAGTCAACGTATAAAAATGAATAGTCTATGAATTATAACAAAGTTTAATTCAAGACACACTAATGTTTTTGATAAAGAATCACGAATCAAAGTTGAATTGAAAGTATGAATCGCAATAAAGTTAGATTTAAAACTTTTTAAGTCATTCACATTTCTTTTTCTTCGTTTACACGAAAAATTAGCCCAAAGGTTTTCTCTTGATTTAACACAACTGTGTTTCACAACTAGAAATAAGCACATTTATAAACTATTGGATTATTTCAATATTCAACGTGATTTGTTAATAATATTAGAACACTGGAAGAAGATTTTTTTTCTTCTGAAATATTCGAATCACCGAAGAGACGAACGTCCGAACCTTACGAAAACTTTTTCGAAAGTGAAGTTCTGGCCTGTTCAATCTTGCCTTTAAATACATTTTCAATGTTCCATCCCTATTTTTCTTTCCTCCTCTTTTTTTTTTCTAACCATTGAAAGTCCAAGAAAAGTATTTAGACATTTTCTCTTTGCTCAGAACTATTGTTATATTGTAAATTCCTTTTCATTCTGTGTATCTCACGGACCTATGGTTTATTCCCTTAGGGGTTTCAGAGGAGTCAACCTAGACCTTCACTTATTTAAGCTCCGCCCCCGATTGATTTTTAAAAACTTTCACTTTTATTGTTTGCTTTCAGGGACGATTTCTTTTTCTTTTCCTTTGTAAATTTTTATGTTTAGAATTCGTAATAAAATTTAAGAATTAACTGATGTGAGATTCGAATGCACGTATAATAAATTAAATATTGAAATAATTATGTTGTTTTTTTTTTAATAAATATTTTTTCAATTAAAAAATCATAACTGAGAAACTCTAACGCAAGTATAATAAGTTGAATATTGAAATAATCATGTTGTTTTATTTGAATTAATTATTGTATCGAAACTTACCGAATTCGGTGCTGACGTATTGTTGGATAATTTTTTATCCCAAAATTACGAATTTTAGGATCAACTTGTGACAATTTAACGTCGGCTCTGCCCAGTTCCGTCAGCCTTAATCTAGAGTATCTAAACATAAATAGAAAAAAAAAAACAAAAAAAAAAAGAAATAAAAAATCAAGAACATGTTAAGATATATCGCAATTCAATCTTTTTGAGATAAAGAAACACGGGAAACGTAGTTACATTCAATGATCTATATCGTTTATGTTAAAGAATATAAATCAAACTTGTTTATTATAAATGTAATATTACTTTCTCTATTTTCTTTTTTTTTTTCTTTTTATTTAAGCGTGCAATTTTAAATATTTGAATGAATGACAAAAGATTTTGCAAAAAATTTGATTACCATTTAATCGTGATATTAAAATTCGAAAAGAAAAGAAAAAACTTAATCAATATAAAAATTCAGATAACAAAAAGGATCATCTTTAGATAAATTTATATTATTAATATGAATATAAATATAATTATAGTATCATACTTTCATGAATGACAAAAGATTTTGCAAAAAATTTGATAACCAATTAATTATGATATTAAAATTCGAAAATAAAATAAAAAGAAAAATAAATATAAAAATAGCTGTCGTAAAAGAGATCATCTTTCGATAAATTTAAATCCAATTATAGTATCACGTAGAACACGAACATGCGTACACATACACATATATGTGTGTTCAAATAAGTAATGTTAAATAGTAGTCGCGGTATTATTACTTAAGACGGATATTAAATTTAAGCTTTGGTAATTGATAACGCTTTGCACGATAATAAACACGATCGTTTGAATTCATTTTCTTTTTTTTTTTTTGTTCCTTTTTTTTCTCTCTTTTTATTTTTCTTCTTAATTTCAATGTCATTGTACCAGGAGACAAAGACGGTAATAGTGTCGTGATTATTAAAAAGAAAAAAGGTGTTAAAGAACATAAACGACGAAGGAGAATCGTATAAAAATTAATTAAACGTTGACGAAATATTATACCGTCCTTTTGAATCAGCATAATTCGTCTAATCGCAACACGAGGAACTTTAATCTCCAGTTACATTTAATCTCATTGCACGTGGCGGTAACAAGCAGCTGACGTGCAAGCGCACGCGAATCCGCAAAAAAGTGAAAAAAAAAAAAAAAAGAAGAAAAAAGAAAAGAAAAGAAAAGACAAGAGGAAGAAATTGTCACACCCACACACGCGTACACGTACACACACCTGTAGATAGGATCATTAAGTAGATTATTACGACGATTAGAAAATTCGTTTAGACGATTAAAATGAATAATTTACGAAGAAGATTTCTCATTTGTTTAAAATTAATTTTTTGCATGGTTACAAATTAATTTAGCGCGTAATTGTTAATTGTTTCGATCGAATTTAATTTTTATTGGCAAATATAAATTGTATTTATTTCAGATAGATTTTTATGTTCTTTTGTGTATCAAAGACGAATTTTTTTTTTTTTTTTTTTAGAGATAAAGAAAGGAACAAAAGAGTTTTGTTTTTTAATTTCTTTTTTTTTATGTGTGTGTGTGTGTGTGTTTTTTTTTCAATTTTATCACAAGTAAAACGAAAATAAAATAAAATAAAATGAAAATATATTTTTTTTTATTTTAATCAGATCATAATATATTATCGGATATAAGTTGATTACGCGAATCGAACTTTAGCATTTTACCATCCGGTTTTGATAATAATATTAGATTAATATCAATATATTAGTGTAAAGAATCGTCTCATTGGTAATGATTAGTTGAAATGTAGGCAACTCCAATAATTATAAATTAGATTATCATCGATAATACATCTCGAGAAAGAGTCACGAAATTGATAAGAACATATTGTGATATCTATACAAGGAATTTCTGATGATCAATAGATATAAATTCTTTCAAGTTGATAGGGGGGAAAAAAAGTGGAGAATTCGTTTGAAAAAAAAAATATATATAGAATAAAATAAAAAAATATATACACGACGCAAATATACGAGAACACATTTAAAAAACGTATAAATATATTTCATTGTCATAGGAAAAAAAACACACACACAGAAAAATAAAATAAAATAAAATAAAATAAAATAAAATAAAATAAAATAAAATTAAATAAAATTAAATAAAATAAAATAAAAAAACACATGCACAATACGTACAATTAACTTAAAAAAATTGATAAGAAAAATAAAAACCATAATTGGGTAGTTTTTCACTTACGTAATAATTACATATCGTTGAATTAGCGCCAGCGTGTCGATTTTTTCCGATATTAGATCTATCGTGTATAGATTACGATGCTCAACTATGATGATCCCAACAAATTTTTCGTAAAAAACACCTTTACACGTAACTTCCAATACGACGAACTGTACTTTATGATTGAATTTAACTATAATCGTTAAAAAATTATTATTTGTATAAATTTTTTCATTTAACGATAAACAATTCCACGAATATTCCAGCTTTAATTTAATTAGAATTAAATCGAAACGAGATTTATGATTTTTAATTGAAATTATCTTTGATTTATTACTTCTTCATTTAATTTTTAATTTTTAATTTTTAATTGTTTTATTTTATTTTATTTTATTTTTCTAATTGATGATGCAGCCAAGATTATGTGAACCGTTTTCCACACGCGGTAGTGCTTGACTGATAAAATGAAATGTTAAAGCTTAGCCGTGTACAACGTCGTCGTCGTCGTTTACTTGTCTACTATATATCTATATGACACTTATATATACACGCATATACACACACACACATTGAATTAAAAAATTCTCTGTCGTCACATCATATGTTAGAGGAAGGAAGAAAGCACGTGTGATACAATATTTTGATCGTTCATAGTAATGTGATAATAGTAATAATTATAATTACTATTATAGTACTATTACCATTCTCTCAATATTTAGTATAGTTTATAATCCCATCATTAAAATCTCATTAATCATTAATCGTTTTTCTATGTTGTATTGTCAATAAGAATTAAAAAAGCATTGAATTAAATTATCCCTACTTAGTCATCATATCTCAATATTTATTACCGTTAATTATTTCATTGATAAAATTTCTCATTATTCATTAATTGTTTTTTTTTCACGTTGTATATTATCAATAAGAATGAAAAAAAAAAAAAAACATGTAATTAAATTATAACACAACTTGTATTGGTCATTGAACATAAGTCATTGTCATCGTCATACTTCAATTTCCCTTTCCATTTTAAAAATTCTCTCTTACCCCTGCCCCTCTCTCTCCCCCCTTCCACTTTTTATACTTTGTTAACATCTATACTCTCTCATGCCCATTGACCCGTACTATTCCGCGTTCCGGGTCAAATGATCGACATTAAACAATGCTCATTTATTTCCTTTTTATTTCATCTTTCTTTCTTTCTCTCATTCTCTCTCTCTCTCTCTTTCTCAACCCTTATTCCCCCCACCCTCACCCCAACCAACACACACACTATACATACACTTGTCAAACTTCCTTGACTCTCGATGGAATCTTTTAAACGTTCAAGAGAATGAGATATTTACACGATCTTCTTTTACAACAACGTGATCTTCCAATTATTCATATATAAATGTTACTACGTGTTAAGCGTTTGACGATTTATAAACGATCTTATTTATTTTGTTTGTCAATTGCAGATCGATAATATTATTCGATCATGTTCTAGAAATAATATTGCATTTATTATATTTTAGAAAATTGTATAATATTTTGTGTTTGAATGTAATACTAAAAAATTTATTACAAATCAAATTTCATTAAAAATGTTGTTTTTTTGTTTGTTTCATTACCAAATTTTCATGGCTTTACTTTAAGATTTTTTTTTTTAAGTTTTTATTTCGTCATCGTTATATTATTATCAAATAATTGTTAAAAAGATTTAGAGTGTTTCTTTGTTTTGTATAATAAAAAAAAAAAAAAAATAAAACTAAATAGAGAATGAAACTATGCAATAATCTAATTCTTAGATTTTTATAAGAATGTCTTTTAAAGTGTTTATAAATCTTATCGGATTATTTTAATTCTAACATATTGTAATATCTTTATGGGATTAGAGAAAGTCTTAACAGATAGATAATAATCTTGAAAATTTCAAACATTCACGTGATAACGAAATCACGTGCGTCGTAACATCTTAATGTTAATAGTAATATTATCTATCGTTAGGAAAAAAAAAAAAAAGAAAAATAAAAACGTTTTAGAATATATTATATACATATATATAACATTGAACACTATAATATATGATCGTACGAATTATGATCTTTTTTTTTACACTTTTTTTTTACAGTCTACACGATTATTTTTTGAGAAATGATTAAATCTTACAAATCATTTATACATAAAAATGTGACCTCGATGATATTACATGGATTAGAACAATATATTTAATAATGTTGAAAATATTTACTTACGCGTTTTCCTTGCCACACATTTGACCATGTGTAATCGTTTATTCAAGGCGTGTAACTACCTAGAATTTTTTTTCTAACTTCCTTTATTTTCTTTTTTTTTTTTCTATTTATCTTCTTTTACAACAAGGAAATATAACTATAAATATACCCCAGGTATACGTTCAATCGCTATAATATTAACGATAAGCGTCGTCGAAAAAGAACATAAAATATTTTACGAAACAGTTTTTTTGTATGTATGTCGAAATTCAATTCAAAAAGAAAAAAAAAACGAAAAAAAAACCCAAATACCTTCGAATAATAATAATAATAATAATAATAGTAATATAATTAAAAAAGTATTATAAGAGGATTAATAAAAAAAATGGAAATAAAATAAATTATTAGAAAAGATAAAGGAATTTGGGAAAGGAAGGGGGGTGGAGATATAAATCGATGACATTGAAATTCGAGTTCGTATATAATAGAAGTACACATGTGTGACGTATCATACTATAATAAGTATAGAATACGTTTGCGTTTAATACTTACCTATACACGTATAGGTCACTATTCCATATACTTACTCTTGAGAATTTTTCTAGATGTTACATAAACATATATATTCATCAGATCTCTCGGTACTCGTGTTACTGCAATTTATCGTCAGACAACTTTATTGAAGAACACGATTGATATTCCATATCTGTGTGATGGATGTAAGTAAGTTAGTAAGTAAGTAGTATGGTTATAGATAGATGGATGAATAGGTGTATATATGTGTGTGTATGTGTGTGTTTGCATGTACGTATATTAAAAGGAAGGTTGGGATTTACGTGTCTATCGTTGACGTAAACGTAGTCAATGGAAATAAGATAAGGGAATCCCGATTTAAAGAAGAATCTTAACATTGACTTCACGTGCATTACTAATGTCATTCTTTATCCTAAAATAATTGTCATTTTATTTTTATCTTGATCATTCGTATAAACATCTTTTTATCTTTTATTTTATTTTCTTTGGTTTATTTCATTTAATATTATATATTTGCGTTGGATCACAGTCATGAATTAATGTCTTAGTTTTTTTTAATAGAACAACAATTTTTTTTTTGTCATGATTATATATAAATAATAATTAAATTTAGTGTTATTATAAATTGAATACATTAATGAGATATATGAGATTAATTATTCATTGATTCAACATTTTATAGATGATGAAAAAATAAAAAAAATATAAAAAATAAAATAGGAACAAATGTGATCTTGAAATTTATTTGTATATTTTTGTTAAGAAATTAAATTTGAAATTGTGAGATTAAAAAAAAGGAAAAAAAAAAAGAGAGAGAAGAGAAGATAGACCAAAAAGAGAGAGAAAAATGCATCAACGTTGTTTATTTTCATAAGCAATCCTCTCTTTTAAGAAACACGAAGAAGATAAATAATACTAATTGCTTTTGTCACGAAACTTCGTAATAAACAGTTTTAATCTAGAGTATTTTACAGAATCGTAAGTGAGTCCGATTATCACTGATAAGGAAGAATCTTTTTTTATTTATTTTTTCTTTTTTTCATTTCTCTTTTTCTCTCTCTCTTTCTCTGTCATCCTTTTTCTCTCGTTTCTTCTCTTACAGAAACACAACATTTACAACTCTTAACGATAACGAATACGTTATAATATTGCTTACCAAGTTTTATAAATCCATTTTTATAACTCGCAATAATATTATTATTATTATTATGATTTTTATTTTTATAAATGAGTCGTAAGTTTATTCAATTAATCGTAACTACTAAAACGTAATAATGAATTGTTATGAGGAAAACAATATAATAAATTTATTTCCTTTTATAATAGAAATTAAATGAGCGAAGATTTTAATCGACAGGAAATTTCTCGAATAGTAATTAATTTAATCTTTTTTAATTAATTGATTTGAAATCGGTAAAGTATGATAATACTTTTCGAACAACGATATTATTTGATCGATAAATAAAAATTTGATCAATGATATCCAATCCGAAATGTGTTATTAATAATAATCTTACATAATACTTACCCATTTAAGATTGATTTTTAAAGGTTATAGGTGTATATTTATTGCAAACTTGTATTATATTCCTATTTTTGTTCTTTTCGATCATGACGAAGTTGTTGTTGTTGTTGTTAATTATAACATTGAACAAAATGTACAAAAATATATTTATACGAACATTATGCAATTGCATAATCGTTGGCGGATCAAGAAAATAAAGGAATCGTTCGTAGAATGAATTAAAACTGTTGTGTTTCTCAGTATTAAATTTTCTTTCCTCTATGAATCAGTAAAAAATCTTCAACAGTATTATTTAATACTAATTAATGGAAATTAATTACATACTTTAGAAAATGTCACTAATAAATTTAATGAATTTAATGAATTTTTCATTTTATGATAATATAATTTGTTTTATGAGAAAGGATCGAGGTATAATAATAATAATAATAATAATAATAATAATAATGATTAAAAACAAATAAAAATAGAAAGAAAAAAATGTAAAGGACAACGTTTAAATGATTATTAGACAATATTTCTTTTTGTTTATTATTTTTGGTTTTTTTCTTTTTTTTTTGGACGAATCCAACTATTCTTGTCTAACAAATAAATATTTACGAACAATCAATTTCTATGCGCTTACAATGTAATTTTGATTATTTTTTTCTTTTCTCTCTCCAATATTTTGATTCACAATTTTTCTCCTTTTTCATCCCCTTTTCTCCTTTCATCTTTCACATTCCTTTTCCTCCACCTCCTCTTTCTTTTTTTCCTTATCTTATTTTTTATCTTTTGTACCCTCGATCGCATACATATACATATATATATATATAAAAAAAAGACAATGCTTTACTTAAAAGATTAAAAAAAAAAATCGTTAAAATATCTATGCGAATTAGAGATGGCAATGAAATGTTAATAAAATTTTAATTGATAATTCTTAATTAGCGTAAAATTCTCGTTTCGATAGATTATTATTATTATTAATAATTTCGACGATCCTAAGGTGCTAATAGGATTATCTCAAAAATATTTCTTACAGTATTTAAAGATAAAAATATCTTATTCGTTTT